TTGAAGAAATTTGAAGAGTAATTTAATAACCCAGAATTGAAATTAACATGGTAAAATATTGTCTCGAATAAAAAACTTTAATTTGAACAGATAGTAGAGAGTAATTGCTCGCTAATAATTTTATTGCAATAATATAATAACGAGCTGCAAAATCTGAAACGTTTATTAATATTCCAGTGTTGTTCATATAAACAGATTAATACATTCTGTATAAAACAAGTATGTGCACGTAGATTGAAAATACGTTTCCCGAATATTACCCTCGATTCAAATATATTTTTCTGATTTCGATTCGAGGAACGTTTTAATTCAGTAATGGTACGCGTTGCTTTCCCGCTCGATTCGAAACATTTAAATTAATTTGTTCGTCGATCGTATACTCTCATTTGATATCGATCGAGAACACAAATTTTTGGACTACGACGAGAAAGGAATGTTTGCGTATGAAAATTTCGATGGTTTTCGTATTCCCCGATGGGAGATTGCTTCGTCAATCTTCGACGGTGTCAGCAAGTTTTTCGAATCTCTTCAATCTCCTAATGTTTTCGTTAAAGGTAATTGCTGATGGCATGGGAAACGAAATTGGAGCGTCGATGAAAAGACCTAAATCAACCGACGTATATTTTAATATACTTTTCAAGTATTTTTCAGCCGATAGTTCGAGATCAAATTGAAAAATAATAGTATTTTTATTACAACAGGTTTAATAAAATATTGAAAAAATCATTCCAAAATCAAAAAATTTCGTATCATCCAGCGAGTGCTGCTCGTACAGAAGAAACTATTGTTTCAATTTACTATTACAGTATATTCGCTTTCGTAACTATTAAAGGTTCGATTCGACTAGTTTCGCGAATGTACTTGGCGCGGATTAAACATCGGAAGATTGATCCTTAAATTTTTAATCGAGCTCTTTGCGTGCGCTGTTCGATTTTCGCTTCGGTGCTGTTGAAATTCTCATAACTCTCGCCGATCTCTCGAACTTCTCCAATTTTAATGCTACAGCGAACACCGAGAACCTACGAGGGCAACAAAAAAGAATTATATTTTCCACTTCGAACGTTTAAATTATAACATTAAATTCTCGACCCGCTGTAATTCGATTTAACTTTACTAAATACACGCTCATCGGATCCCCACAAATTCTCTCGAATACAACGACGAACTGTCGTTCTTAGCGAAACAGGAATTCGATCGACGTTAGAGATGCCCGGTATAAACGCGTCTGTCGCGATAAATGGCCCTGGAAACGGCAAGAATGACGGTCGAACGTTGCGTCAACGTCTCTGCTGAACGTTGCTCGGAGTTTACCCGACAGTTGTGACAAACGAAACAGCCAAATATTCAATTTGCTCGACGCTTCGGGGACCAATCCGCGGAGAACGTCAGACAAACTCGACAGACTTATCGGGACAGGGGAAAATGTCTGTTGCAGCGTATTAACGCGGCCAAAATCGTGGAGAGCCCCGATCGCCACGACGATTCGATCGCTATGGTTTATTTCTCGTCTGTCAATTAGTCCCTCCACGGCTCCCAGGCTAATTGTTTCACGTAAAAACGCATCCACTGCTCTTGGAGTCGGCTCGAGAATTTTTTAAAAGCGAATATACGTCGGAACTCTTAAAAAAGGGGAGTTAAGAGGGAAGAATTTAAAAATATCCTCTGTGTGTAAAAAAAATTAATTTGACACGCTACTGGCGGGGCTACAGTTTGAGAGTGGATCGATTTAGCGAAAGTTTGGAAGCCTAGAAGAAAAATAATAGACACAGGACCAGGAAGAATATGGTATAATCTGAAAGGTTATTTTCGAGTAATTCAATCGTCACGTGAACCCAAAGCAAGAAGTTTAGTATCGTCGTGTTACTCGGGCACGCTGATCCAAGGATAGAAACTAAAAGTCTCGAGAGTCCGGAGGAAGCCTTAAATAAAGCCTCGTGCGAGTCGAATGTTTCCAAAGTCTTGAAACTCTCGCGGAAGTAAGAATAAATTACGGATACTTTCGATCATTAAGGCGATCTCTAGAAAGGGAACGTAGAATGAAAGAAGTTCCAGTGTTTTGAATTAAAATAACCACGAAATTTCAACCTTCTCGTAAGGTTTCTTTGAAGAAAGTTTCCATTATTCGAAACGGAACTTTCGAGCAAGCTTGCGCTGTACGAGCATTAGGAAATTTTCCGTTGGTATAGTGAGAGGTCTTTGGGAAATTTTTCGATTAGATATTGGCAAAATTCACTTACCTGTGATCCCGACGGGAGCGTCATCGAAAGTTGCCGCGACGAGGGGGATAATTAATGAAGGATGAGACGCGGTCTCAGGACGAAGCACGAACTTTGCCCGTCGGCTCGACCCAATTTCGCGGGGACAATTTGTCAATGTACTCGGATTTTTCGATCATGGCTGGACCGATCGCCTCGTCCCGCGGGCTTCGTTCTCGATAAAGGAACTCCCCGGGTCGTCTGTTTCTTCGAATAATTATTTGAACGTCGCTCGGTCCCATCGAGCTCGTTAATTCGCCACGCGTCGATCACTGGCTTTCAATTTTTCAAAATACGGCTTCTCAATTTTTTATATCGACCTAATTCTAACATACATACTTCGCTCAAATTGAAATCGAACGGTTCGTTCATTAAAAAAAAAATATGAATTCTGACGTCAATCTAGAGGTTTAAAAAAATGTTTAAAAAGGGCTGGGAAAAATTTAAAAAAACACGCATGTGTTCTGACGATAATCTAGGGGCTAAGAAAATGTCATTTAAAAATAAATTTTTTAAACTGCCTAAAAAAAAAGTTACTTATAATTAGTTTTAAAAAGAGGTTCATTCGATGATGAAAATATGTGTTTTAATTATTCGAAGAGGCACACGTTGGATGAAGAAAACGCTAATGAAAAGGACACGTAAACACGATTGTTGTACAATATAACGTTGCGTTTATTATTATCGTTACTCATTAACCACAATTGTTAAACGTTCACTTTCGTATGATACAACGTTAGTCTCTATACACACTCTGGCTCTTTTCTCCCTAAATGTCCTCTTAAATCTGCTTACGTCTAGTCTGTAGTAGTTTTCCGTACGGTTTGTTTAGTGTCTGTGTTTATATACAAAAGCGCTGGATTATTCGTCCATCGGCTAAGCTACGAACAACCCAATATTTCCGCGATCTGGTTGGTCTAGCACACGATTTTATTCTATTTATCTCTTGCCTCCGTCGATCCTCTCGCGCTCTTTTTCTCTCTGGGCATTCCCTAAACATCGAGCTATTTCTCATCAAATCGCTCGTCCCGCCTAGGGAATCGTTCGTGGAATTCAACTGTCTGTGTCTTTCGCCCCGGTCACTACCTTTGCACGCTTTCGTTCGTTCGTTCACGTATATTGGCTACAAAATAATTGACAAAAATCTGTCAAGTAGTTCGACGATTTATCCCCTTCGTTTCTGACGCCAGTGTCCTTTTGGAGGAACGCGCTAGGGTTTGCAATTTTCCCGCGAGCGGAACGAGAAATTGTTTTTTAACGATACTGCTTGCATTATTTGCATTTTAATTAACTCACGAATCGTTGAAATTGCCATCGAATAGAGGCGTTTTAAATTTGGAATTTATCAAACTCGAATACTATAAAAATCTATAAAAATCTGTTCTTTTGTCTGTAAGTACGCGAAAACTGAAACAAATTCATGCAACGTGGAGTAAATTTGCTCGTTCCGCTTGCCAGTAGTACGAAAAACATCGAATGTCACGAGTGTAGTGTTTGTGTATTATTTTACGCGTTAACTGCCACAGAAATTACTTTGAGCTACTTCGCGGTGTCGTGATCACTAACTTAACGGCATAGAATTTTATTTCTTACGATTATTTAAGGTGATTTACGCAACTTCGAACCGCGTAGAATTCGTAATCCGAGTTCCACTTTCTTAGAAAATATTCGATATTGAATTCGCGCGACAGTCAATGCGTCAATAAACTCTCATAATCACGTGCCTTTGTAACGTAACAGCGTTTTATAATTCCTGCCAATTTACATACGGTATATTTAACCCTTTGCATGTTTGCTTCGAGTATTGTTCCTTTCGGTACCTTGTACACGAAACTGGTCACGATACGTGTTGTGTCGATTGAACGTAAATTTCCAAACGCTCGAGAAACGAGAGAAAAGGACTGCTGTATTTATTGATAAAATATCGCTATAGAAGATTTCTCAAATGTGAAATAATTAACAGTGATAGGTACGATTGCATCGATTAAATAGACTCTTCGTTATGTTTTGCCACGTTCTCTGGAAAAACATAAAGATTGAGTTTCGATCTTAAATCCCAGGCGGAAGATGAGAAACCATTTATCATGTTACGAAAGAAATCCATTGCCTTCATCAGGGCAATCAGAAAGAAAATAAAACATTTGCTATCAGACGAGTGAAGTCGTCTATTAACTAGAATTATTATTTTTTTATCAGCATACATGTTAAATTTTCTTTTATCTTTAAACGCATACATCAGCCCTTTTGGTCTAGCTAGTGGATCAGATCAGAGAAGAAAGTATTCTTGCAATGTTTAATAGTGCACTCGTGACTAGTCTTTGCTGGTAATATATGTTGGGGCAAATAGTTTACTAAATTCAACACTTTTACGAAACTCTTAACTATCGAATTAACCCATTAAATACCAAAGGATCTTCTTTCTCTGTATGGTGTATCAAAATATACTTTATCGAACAGAAGAAGTCGCTAGAGACTTCCACAGTGTACAAAAAGACTAGAAAAGTCAAGTAAACCATTCCCAGATGTAATCATATAACTTTTCCCCCATATCGTATTAGAAAAGACGTTGCAAAAAAGTTACAGTGCAATTTAAATACGTTTTACACCAGTTAAAAAAATATTTTTCATCCACAATAGATAGGACCACTGGTACATCCCACTAACTCAAATTCATATTTTTTACGTTCTACACCAGTAAAAAAATATTTTTCGACTACAATAGATAGGGCCATTGGTACTTCCTGGGTTAAGAAAACAACTGGAAAGCGTGGAATTCGCGTCTCGAGATCGCGAGGGTTGAATATTTAATTACCTTTATCGACATATCCACAAACCGTTCGCTCGCAGTTTCGTTCTCGTCGGTTTGGCGGTTGGAAAGAATGACGGGAACGATTTCGTAAATGTATCCGTTTGGCAAATACAAATTCCCGTCGCCCGGGGAATACACTTATCATCCCCGTTGACAATCGGTTGGTCGAGAGAAACGGCGTCAGGGCTTGTAGCTCGTGAATCTTCTTCAGCGACGGGTCGCCGCTAGGGATCAAACGCGAATCGGTAATCTTATCGAAACACCGAAAAGCTCTGTCGATTATTCTCTCTGCCTAATTATCCTCGCGTCCCCGTGATTTCCCGCGATCACCGTTTTTCGTTCAATTCCCCGCGTCCCGTTGATCCAACGTCGAGCAAAGGCGTCAAAAAGTTTTCTCCCTTTCTCTCTCTCTCTCTCTCTCTCTCTGGCCGTGTTGGACGAATCGAGTTCCCTGAAACCGCGTGACCCTTCTCGTTTTAAGCCTATTTGACCTCGTGTTTGTTTCTGTCCGTTGGGAGATGGAATCGGCACCGTTCGTTTAGAAATGAAACGTCCGCCCTCGGTGGCCGTACGGCTCCGATTCAAACGATGTTGTGCGAGAGGGAGCCATCGTCCTGCCACGTGTTGGCTGGAAAGAAAAAGTCATCTTTTCAAATTCTCATCGAGGCGATCCCTTCGCGAAGTGGTAAGAAGTTTTGGGGCTCCTCGAGCCTGGATATTCTCCTGGGTTACCTCTATAGTGCATCTCCTGCGCCATCGACGGACACTTTGCATCCGGTCGCTGTTCAGACAAACACAAAAACGCAGTTATAATTAATCGCGGGGACACTTGTTTCTTTTGTCATCGGATCGACCCTCTACAAGCATCAATCTTACTTCGTTAAATCGTAATTATGAAAAAAGTATTCTATGTCAGTCGTTCCTTTGTAAGTTGACTGCGGATCTTTATGCAAATTCATATTTTTATTAACGTACCAGAAAGTTTTTATTAATACGAACAACTCAGGAATATCGAATGGAATTTTGTGATGTGACAAACGTATAAATACCTATATTTTCTAAATTCAATTTGCGTTATCGTGAAACTTGAATCGAGCTATGGCACGTATACAGTCGAGTTCAAAAGGGTTAATAGAATTAACGAAATGTGAGCTTGTCTCAACCCCTAAGTGTCTTTAAATACTTCTTATATTTTTGCATATTAACACATTACCGACCGATAGCCTATTAATCGACTGTTTTATCGGTCGGTAAGTGTTGGCCGGTAAAAAAAGTCGATTAATAGGCTATCGGTCGGTAATGTGTTAAGTGCATTCTGTAGCTCTTTGGGAAGTAAAATCTCCCATAAATGTATAAATATTTACAGTCTACTGATCATCAACAGAGACCAATCACTCAAACTGACCCTCTGATCTGAATAATCTTAAATAGCTCCGTTTCTAATCATTTGTTTCCTTCGTCAAGCAACGTTAAAAAGTTCCAAAAAAAATATTCACGAGAGAATTTCCAAATTCCGAATTACCAGATTGATCGTTCTGAAAGTAATTGTACGGCACACCAAGATTGCAACTGTTACGGTTGACGAATGATCCTGTGTTTGACTAATTGCACGTTTAGGTTGAATCTCGTTATTGATTGTACACGATTAGGATAGTTTCGCAAATAAGGATATGACAGTAACCGTCTGACGTGTTTGTGAATACGAATACGAGCGCAAATACAGTTGTCTGACAAGCTGTCACGAAGTTATCCTAACTACTCCCTAGAACTGTTCGTACCGCGATAATTATATCTCATTTTCGCTAGCTGTCTCTCGCTACCGTCCTCGATGCATATTTTATCGTAAATACGAATATATACGTTTCCCAGTTAACGCTACGAACGAATTACTTTTACTCGTGCATTTTAATAATTTCTGTCCATATTTGGTGGCGAAATTGCACCTACACTTCGTGTCGTTAGCGAATATTGTTTCGTGTATTCCTTTGGAGTAATTTTCAGACAAGTTTCACTTCTTATCTATTCCCAAATGTTCTCGATAACGAAAAGTTGCACAAACACATGTTGCTCTACAAAACATTTTCAATTTAAAAAATTTAATATTTCTGTCAACGTTTAATGGCGAAAGAATTAATCAATTACGAATGTGCGTTTCTGTGGAATATTAAATAACCTTCTTTCTTTCTGGAAAATTACACAAAATTCTATTTTTAAAAAAATTTTGAATTTATTTTTGCGTTAAGAATCTGTGTTTTTCGTATAAAAATATAATATTTCTACCAGCGTTTGACGGTAAAAGAATTAACCAATTACGAAAGTGCGTTTCTGTGGAATATTAAATAACCTTTCTGGAAAATTACACAAAACTCTATTCTAAAAAAAATTTTGAATTTTTGCGCTAAGAATCTGTGTGTTTTCGTATAAAAATATAGTATTTCTACCAGCGTTTGATGGTAAAAGAATTAGTCGATAACGAAAGTGCAACTTTTCTGGCGATTTCGGATGCTTTATTTTTCCGAATTTTGCACGCGAGGTTCGTCGCATTGCAGCTCGCCTAGCCTGCAGTTTATAGTAGCTTATTCCTTTATATTTCTTAATGCATACTTTTCGTTCTTCGGGTCTCTAGAAAAACTCGGCAATCCTCTCATGTACAAGGCGAGTCACGCAACTGGAACGAATCCTATTTAGTCGAATGCGCAGGAAAAAGTTGAACGGGTCCAACAAAGTCTATCTTCTTGCGATCTCGTTTTTTTCACGCGAATTCAACGATGCACGTGCTGGGTGCGATTACACCTTCCGTCGAAGGGCCTAGAATTTTTTTGTTATAAATATAAACTGGTTTAAAAAGTCTCTACAAGTAGCAAAGAATTCTTGCAAAGTTATTAAGTTCCAAACTGGAGAATAATTAATTTAAAAGGGAGATATATCGACGCCTCTAAGTAGTATATTTTTAAAACAAATAGAGGGCTGACAGAGGCTTGTAGAGGGTTGATCCCTGAAATTTGTCAAGAAAGCGCGAAAGAAATTTCGAATAGCATCGAACGACGATACAATTAGCGTGTCCATGAACGTGGGGTAAAATATAAGGGCAATTCACCTTGCGGAAATCGATGTTCGTCCGTATAGTCCTGTAATGAAGATTCTGCAGCGGCCTCGAATTGTTTCCCAAGGGTGCTTTCGGAGCGTTAACCGGACCTTGCATTAGTTTCCTTAGTGCGTAAAGCTGGAAATGGGATTAGGATTACATTGTAACGATGCCGTTCCCTCGTTCAATATTTAACCATAAAGTAGAGCTTGTTAAGTAATGGGCGTCGAGATAAATACAAGAATGGCCGGGGCAAACTGAATTTCCGAATAATATACTTAACCGATTAATGTTTCGATGCACTTTCCGGGTCTCGTTGAAATTGACGACGTAAACTCGTTATTATTCTACGGGCAACTTTCCAACGCTGACAGTTTATTTACCACCCGACGCGACAATCGAATCAATAATGTTATAACATTTGTTAGGCCATTAAACCCCGTTACAAATTTCGACATTTTCTGCGATCTCATGCAATTATACTTTTTTACTTGCATCAATACCAAATATGTAGTTCTTATGTTTATCTTCGAACGCAATAATTTTCGAAAGAAATGTTCTCCTATTAGTCGTTTTTTATATAATTAAGTAATTATTAAGAATAAAGGCATCAGTGTCAATTTTAATGGCTTTTAAATATATCATTAAACCTAACTGAAGTTTTCTTCGAATATTTCGAAAACAAAAGTCGATACTTTCGAAGCCTCCATTTTCAACAATTGCTATTTATATTTATTTTGAAATTTCCAGAGTTCGACGGAACAAGCCTCTCAAGTGGAGTAATAATAATGACGTTTGAACGAAGTTTATCGTAACGTCGCGAGTTTATCGGATTTTTAGTAGCGTCGCGTATCAACTTATTTCTCGAAGCGTTCGAACGTATCATTTTATATGCGTTATACGCAGACTATGGGGGGTTGTATCTTGAGGACGCTGGGGGCAAATCGACAAATTGAGCGTCACAGGCCGACGCGAGAAAGGTAATAAAAGTCTGAGGAATCTGAATAACAAATTGACGAGATAGAGGCGGTTAGCACTTACTTCTCGCGCGGTAATGTAGATGGGTTTGTTGAGGATCAGCCACACAGCCGTCTCCCAACATCCGGGGTGAGTCGTGCTACCCTCGTAAGTCATGTAACCTTTCGTGTCTGGAAGCAGACTCATCAGCGACAGGTGACGAACTGGCACCGAATCGCCTGCAAAAAAGAAAGTAATTCTTTCGTTAGAAACATAACAAAAGGTTGAGAACCTCTGATCACTGGGAAAACACTTGCAACGCTTTAGAAAAGCAGTCAATTTGCCCCCTTGTGATTTTAATTTACTTTTGCAATAATAGGATTATAGAGGGTTCTTTATTATTTATTTACTTTATGTTGCATGCCCCTCTTTTTTATTTTAACCCCTTTTTGCAAAATAGTTGGTTTCCTTCAAAGGGAATAATAGAATTATAGAGTGTTCGAATATGGAAGCTTCTACTATATCGTATCGTTTTTATTATTTATTTATTTTATTTTATTTTGCATGCCCCCTCTTTGAGGATCATGGATCACATTCCTGTGGTTCGTTTTTTCCTGCAAATGTGAAGCGCACAGTAAATGTACCTATACTAGTCCCTCAAGATTTATATTTATAAAATCATTGCATCGATATGTAAAATTCACGATTTCTATTTTTTTTCGTATTTACCAATGATATTACTGAGACCTAACCCAGACATTCTGTTAGAACCTGGTCGATTCGTTAGGCTCGAATTGCAGTTTTAAGTTGTATCGTAATAGAAAAGTGCACAAACATTAGTTTCTAAATTTGTTCGAAAATAATGGATGACTCTGGGTATTATACCCTCTCCCCTCCCCAAAGTCTTAGAGCCTCTTTTTTTTTAAATATTGCGGATATCGAACTCGAGCTCGTCGGTGTTTCCGCGCTCCATAACTGAGGCACATTGAAAAAAGGGAGGATCCTCTAGATTCGGGGCTATTTGCATGTTAAACGATCGAAATCCAGGCGAGTCACCCTTATTCCACGGTTCGGGTACGTTGCGTTGCATATTCAGGGACGTTATTTCGAACGCGACAAAATTACTCGATATTCGATCGGGATACTCTTTGAACTTCGAGTCGCGAAACAGCCAGCCTGGAAAAACGAGGACGCGTCGGAGGAAGGAAGCTGGACGAAAGGTGGTGACGCGCGATGATTGGAGCTGCGCAAATACACGTAACGCGACGGCTGAGGAAACTTTGTTCATTGTTACTGTTGTATCTGCCGGGCGGAAATTTTATTATCGTTACATTACGTTTCGCGATTCTACGACGTGCTCGAGAATCTCTCGCGCGACAAGTCAACCATTACAATTGCATTGGCAAATTTTTACGATTCATAGTCTTTTCCAAAGCGGAGGATAAACGTTTGAACTGCAAAAATTGACAGGCGATTTATTTTTTAGCCATTACATTGAAAAACTATATCGAATGCACGATAATGTGGCTTATAAATTTCAATGTCATAGCATTCGTGAATGAAAATTGATGCATTCTGCTTGATGAGTTTCGAAGAGTCGATTTTTGTTTGATTAGTGATTGCTTTTAGAGAGCTTAGGAGTTGCACAGAGTAAAAAAGTACATTAGAACTTCTTCTTCGCGAGTCCACCATTTTGTATACGTTGAAGATAAAGAGAAGATTCTCAGTAATATCATTGGTAAGAAAAAATAACCTTCTTATTATAGGATAACAACAAAAATTTATTTAAGCAGAATTCTTTTATTTTAATGTAAATAATTTGTAAACGCGATCCCTACGTGATGAAATAAACGAACGAATCGAACAAAACATACTTTTTAGCGGTCGTTACGAAGTTGGCGTGACATTTATCTCGCGTAATCAATATTTCTGCAACTTTCGAACAGCCCTCTCGACGTTAAGTAAGTAACGTTGCACCCAGATTCATCGTCGCGTGTTTTTGTCCCCGACAAAGTGAAAGGTATGAGAAACAGCCAGTAATAGTTCACGCGATTCATCCAATGGAGTCCCGGGGCAGGTCTGAACGCAGCGACAAGAATCAGTAATTTAGCAATAACAACCGAACGGGCAAAAAGATGCAGCCAATGCTTACAGGATAGCTACTTTATAGTATCTACTTTGAACCAGTGCCATTAAGAGCGCGGATAATCTCGAAACGTTTTTCGTACGGCTGTTGAAATCGAACGATACTTGCTTCTTAGATTAGAATTTTTTTTGGAACACTGTGTTTTAAAGTAATCGTTAAAAAAGTACCGACAGTATCTAATTTATATGTAAATTATAGTTAAAATGCAAAATGTGCTAAATGACTGTTTTGAACATTTCGTTTAGAATTTCTAATACACAGTATTATTTTAGCGCCATTTAACTTTACGATTTTTCTTATAGTATACGTACAATGAATTTTACAATGTTTGTTTCTATTATTGATTGTTTTCTGAGGAAAATATGTAGTCTTTTGTTTACCACGACCGACCATCTGATCGGTTGAATGATTTATATTTTTTTGTAAAAAATAAAATTTGGTATCAAATTCTGGTTAGCTTTAAACAAATTTTAATAGGAGATTCTAGAGGCCAAAATAAGACGAAAATCAAGAATACTAATTTGTTGATGGAGGTTTCGATAAAAAGTTATTAACGTTTAAAGTTCCGCTAGAATTGAATTTTTTTCTAGAAAGTGGGTAGGATTTCAGGGGTAGGTCAATTCACCAAAAATTATTCTAATTGACCCCCGGAACCAAAAATAATTTTTTCAGAACGATTTGAAATTTTTTAAGTTTGTCGAAAAATTTCACACCTTCTCGAATTTTTTTCTCGAAAGTGGGTAGGATTTCGAGGGTGTGTCTAATGAACAGAAATGATTGTAATTGACCCCCGCAACCGAAAATAATTTTTCAGAATAACTTGAAATTCTTTAATTTACTTTTTTAATAACTTTTTAATGAAGCCTCAGTCAAGAAATTGATATTCTTGATTTTCGTCTTATTTTGGCCTCTAAAATGTCCCATTAAAATTTTTCCCGGGGTTGGCGGAACACCCCGTATGTATAGCAAAGATGAAAGAAGAGAATTTTCAGTTCCCACGGTCTTAGAATAGTCTAACAAGGCGTATTAAAAATAGTTAAACTTTAGACACGTGCAGTTCCGAAACTACTAGGGGTTTATTAATAATTGAGTCACCATTGGAAGCGGTAAACCTTCCCCTTTAAAATGATTTTTGGTTTTTGACGATCCGACTTTCCGTTCTCGAGATATCGTAATTTATGTAAAAGGTAATTTTTCAATTTCCACTATGTCCTCCGTCTCCGCCTTAGGAACGGCTATTAACGCGTATTAAAAATAGTTAAACTTTAGACACGTGCAGTTCCGAAACTACTAGGGTTTTATTAATAATTGAGCCACCATTGGAAGCGGTAAACCTTCCCCTTTAAAATGGTTTTTGGTTTTTGACGATCCGACTTTCCGTTTTCGAGATATCGTAATTTATGTAAAAGGTAATTTTTTCAATTCGACTATCGCTGTCTTCGTCTAACGAGTCGGACCTCTCTCTCGCTCGTGCGTCGTGCTGACCTACCCTACGAACGTGACTGTCGTGACCTAGTTCCGCGTAGTGTTTCCAAGAATTTACTACGCGCTACTATTTACGCGCGCGCGAGTTCATTCATCTCGCGTCAATGAAACGTAAACAAAGCTTCGAACCCTTATATCTCCGAAACTAGCCACCGCATCAACTTGAAACTGAAATCCTCATATCTCCGGAACTAATTACGCTATCCACTGGTTTGAACGCTCATTTTAAAGGGCATTTTATCCCCTATCCAATGACTATACCAACTACTATAATTTAGGCTGTCTTCTATGTTTATTTTTACATTTACTTTGACGCTACATACCCAAAGAAGTTTTAGCAATTCTTATTGATTATATACGACTGCTATGCGATAGAATTGGATTATAAATAATTTATTTCATTGAAAATTAATTTAAATTTGTATACAGGGTGTTTGCATAATTACTATGCCATTTTTTCGTAAATAATTATTTTCTCCGAAATCAACTACGGTATCGACACGAAACAAAAGTCGTTATCAAGGGTGTTTTATCTCCAATCCGATGAACATTATATTAACGAATACTAAGTGTGCACGTTTAGAGTAAAAGTATTGAATATTTTTCATGCATAAAAGAGGGAGATATACATATTACAAATAAACTTCAAAAGACAACTTTCTATACAAATAATGCAAAAATTAGAAGTATGGTGCCTCGTAAAAGAGAAAATGAAAGTCATTTGACCGATCATGGTAGGAATGGGTATACATTGTTAAACAATAGTATTTATGAGTTATCTACGACGATGTACTCGTGATCTTTCGAGATCTAAAATAAAGGACGAATCAGAGACTAAATCGTGGATCTTTTCGTGAAAAATTCTGGTCGTCTTTCGAGGGTATTCGATTCGTACGACGTTTCGAGTCCATCCTGTATCGATTATTCGCGGGATCGTAACAATAATGCACACCTCGAGGTGGGTTATTGTTCCACGTCGAACCGTTAAGTCGACGGCGTAACTACAGTTTCTGTTTACAGCCGGCCCCGACAAGCGGCATCAATTTGTTATTGGATCGTATGACACGCTCGACTGAGATTTATATTCCGCGTAACCCTGCGGAATTATGGCCTTATATGCGTCGTTTCCTTCAGCGCGCGTTACCGTACGAAAGACACAAATCATCCATAGATGTGTGGCAGTTATGAACGACGTAACGTCGAGAGGGACGTGTGTTCGAACGTGTTACCGAGAGCACTCGAAAAAGAGTTGCCCCGCAACAATATTCCAGTCAGCTTATGATTTCCAACGGTCCTCGAACCCGTGATTTACCCCCGTTGAAGTGCGAAGCGTTGAAAACCGTGTTTCGAGCGCTGTTCCAGACGGAACTGTTGATAGCTCCACGCAGGGATTCTCAGCGGGGCCGTACAAATTCGCGTATCCCAAGAAAAATGGAAAACCATAACTTCTAAACGAGCACGAAAATTATTATAACACTAGCCATGCATTCTAGCTGAATTTTACCAACATCTCGAAGACTATTTCATACAAATTTAGTTAATTAAAGTCCAGCTCGACGTGTACAATTCGATGACTATTGTATCTATTACGATGTAAACATCTCGAGT